ACCGGACCTGAAACGTTAACTCTGTTTTCTCCTTCACAGATGCTGCCAGACCTGCTGAGGTTTTCCGGCAACTTTGTTTTTGGACAGAATGGATGGTACATCTTGTGGAGCAATCCAGAACAACAGGTCATAGGTTTAGGTTAAAGGATGGCAAATTTAAAACAAAGCTGAGGAACAGAGGAACAGGAGTAGGTCATTCAGCCCCTTGGGCCTGTTCTACCATTCAATGAGATCACGGCTGATCTGTGGCCTAACTACACTTACTTGCGATTGGCCCATATCTCTTAATACCTTTGCTTACCAAAATTTATCTATCCCATATTTAAGATTAACAATTGATACTGCATCCACTGTCATTTGTGAAAAAGAGCTCCAAATATCTACCAGCCTGTATGTGTAAAAGAGCTTCCTAACCTTCCTCCTGAATGATCAGGCCCTGATTCTCAGACTATGCCCCTACTTCTAGGATGTCCGACCAGTGGAAATTGTTTATCTTTATTTACCCTGTCGTTTCCTGTTAATATCTTGAATCAGATCACCTCTTGACCTTCTAACTTCTAAAGGAAACAGGCCTAATTTGTATAATCACTCCTCATAACTTTATACGCTGAAGTTCAGGTATCCTTCATGTAATCCCACGTTGTACTCCCTCCAAGCCCAATAAATCCTTCTTTAGTTCTCACAAAGGGTGTATGAATCTGTGGAATTCATTAACTCAGAGTGAGACGGATGTTGAAATACTGAATAAATTTAAGGAGGAGATAACACAGTGTGGAGCTGGAGGAACGCAGCAGGCCAGGCAGCATCAGAGGAGCAGGAAAGTTGACGTTTTGGTTTGGGACCCTTCAAGGGTCAACGTCGACTTTCCTGCTCCTCTGATGCTGTCTGGCCTGCTGCGTTCCTCCAGCTCCACAATGTGTTGACTCTGACTCCAGCATCTGCAGTTCTTGCTATCTTTAAGAAGGATGCAGATTTTTTAATCAGTAATGGGTTAAAAAATTATGGAGAACTGATAGGAATGTGAAGTTGAGGCCAAGAATAAGATCAGCCATGGTCATACAAAATGGCGAAGCAAGCTAGCCAGGCTGACTTGCCTACTCCTGCTCCTAGCTCTTATGTTCTTAAGGTAGTTGAAAAGATTCACAAAGTGGAGTATGGAATATTTGATTACTTCGCAATGGTGAAAAGACCTATGTGAGCAGTAAATGTGTTTGCAATCACCCAGAGTCTTTGGACTGCCTAAGACAAACAAAACTCAACAAACATAGACAAAAGTTGGTCTGGCCATATGCAAGGTTAATACCTTAGTAATCTGCGAAGTGAAAACACAGGCCAGACATTCATACCTCACTGCTCCGGGTGCTGGTCTCTGTTTTCTCAGATCATAGCTATGTGGGAAACAAGTAAAGCAGAAATATAAAGAGCGAGAGAGAAATAGGGAGAAAAAGAAAGAAAGCATTGTTGTGAGTGTAAATGAGCGAGAGGGAAGGATCATTGACAAATGGTTCGCTCTGGGTCATTCTACTGATCTCGTAGTACCCAATAGTATAGGGAGATATCTGGTTCAATTTGAACAACAAACATCTAGATGGAGGGGGCTTTAAAAAGATAAGACTTAAAAACAAATGGGATGTAAAGGGTCCTGACCCGAAACGTCAACTTTCCTGCTCCTCTCATGCTGCCTGGCCTGCTGTGTTCCTCCAGCTCCACATGGTGTTATCTCTGACTCCAGCATCTGCAGTTCTTACTATCTCTGGGATGTAAAGCTTGCTGTGAAAGACTGGTCTAGATCTATGGGGAGACTGCAGAATAACAAGAAATAGAACCTGCGGCAGCGGGAAAACTACACAACATTTCTTTTAAAAACTGTTTCAATGTCATGTCATTACCAGTTGTGCTGGGCTGATATTTCCAATCGAAAATGTCAAATTAAACTCTGCTGAGTCTCATTAACACGCACAGCTTGAAAACTGAGCACAACCACCACAACAAAAGAATGTCACAGTCGCTACAGGTCGCCTCAAACATCTTGGGCAGATTGCCTGGAATTTTTGGGTGTAGAAAGGGAGAACACTTGAAATTCTAATCGGATCCAGAGCAGAGAGGCTACGGGGAACTCAGGCTCCAATTAGCACAATTCAATTAATTGTGATTTTTTTTCCCAGAAGTGTGTGTCACGCACCAGGGCCCCTTTAAAAATTAATCACATGAGGTTATGATTAACTGTCTGTAAACTGATGGTTTTTTCCTGGTCTCTTTGCAACACACCATAGACAGAATGCAACACTTGCATGGCTTTTCACTATTGCATGATATCTCAATATCCTCTACAGGTGACAAGTGAAGAAACAGCCCCATCTTTGTGCATCACCGGGTCACATAACACCGGTGAATTGGGAAATTCTACAAACGATGGTCTGGGAGTGAACATCCCACTTTAGTGGCTCCAATCCCCAAAACCCTTCACAGCACTCACTCAAACTGTTTTACCACAGCTCAGAAGTCACACTGAAGTCCCCAAGTTCCACTACCTTTAAATTTGTCAGCACACTTATCAAAATGCATGTTTTCGATCAACGTCACTCTTATTAAGGTTCAATTTGAAACAACTTCAGGGTAGCAAGCTCTCTCGACAGGAATCGTAATTATCTAGTTGTTCTAACCAGTCTGCCACACATTTCTGTTTTGCTTATTTTATCAAGTGACACTTGGTGCTGAATACATATTAACTGAGGAAAAGCTTTTATGTTTGAAAAGATCAGCCAGCTGCCCAGAGAAGGAACCTTTTGGGTCCTGGAGTGCAAGTACTCACCTGAAAAGATCACCAAACTTGCTTCTTAAGTGACTGCAAGATACATAAAGGTCATACAGGTAGGCCAGAATGCATCTTTCGGGAGAGGAGCATTCTGAAGGATTGACAACATGCTTTACTACCCCACACAGCCTGCAAGAGAGAGGATACAGACAGGAAGTTGGAAGGATCAGACAGCGGAATGAAAGAAAACAGACCATTCAGGTATCTCCCCACTTTAGCAGAGGGCCATTAACCGTTGACTTGAGCAGCAGCATTTCCAAGAATAAGTGAAAGCTGACCTCCATCGAAACGTTAGCGACGGAGGAACATCCCACCCCCACCCCCACCCAGAGTTGTCCGAATAATATCATGATTCTGGTCCCAAACAAACACATTGCAATTTCAGCCCAGACTGCTGTGTACAGAGCCTGGGGACTGGGTGAACTGCTGCCTTGACACCACACCCGATTCAGTTCTCCACTGAAGTTGGTTCACAGAAATATGGGATGAGATGCAAAAACAGCATTGCACCTGCCCTATCTGTTCCACAACTTCGATTCAAGTTTTCTTCCTCAAGCTGTTTTACAGTTTGTCCCACGGGACCCTCTGGTTTGATAGAATATCAATGACAAAGCAGCACAATGTTCAGAATGAGCCTGGCATGTTTCCCCTCCAGACCACTCAGTGTCCTGACTGGGAAAATATATCATTGTCGCTGGGTCACATCCTGGAACTCCCTTCCTCGTGGATCTATCCCCACCAAGTGGACTGCAGTGGCTCAGGAAGGCAGCTCACCGCCTTCTCAAGGGCAACTAGGGATGGGCAAGAAATGCTGGACCAACCGGTAACACTTACATTCCATGGATCAATTTTTTTTTTTTAAAAAAGTCAGTGAATCTCAAATGACTATCTGTGGCTGGGACAATGTTTCCAGGTCAGCCCAGTTTCAACTGGTCTACGCTGAGACCGGAGCTTCCACTCTCCTATCACCAAGGGGTGAATTTTTAAAACTTGTTGCCACTGGTACAGGAGACCTTCATTTATGTAGCACCAGGCCTTCATTGGTAATGGCTAAATGCATACAGTCAGTGACTTTGAAATGGTCTGTAATTCTGTACAAGAGGTGAGAAATGGTGCATTACATTTCTCTGAAATATTCGCGCATAAATACCGCCTCCTACTATATGTAGCAGGGATGGATGGAACCAACATTTTCTTCCAGCTTTCCAAGGCTAGGCTCTCCTACAGGCAGTACTGATTGCTGGGATGGGAGTGATCCCGGGGTGCGCTTTACTGCAACAAAATGTTCAAAAGTTCATCAGTTAAAAGAGGGGCAGGAGGATTAGAGTGTGTCCTGGGCAGTAATTGGGAGGAAGGGCTCTGACTAACGAGGATGGCCAAAAAGGCTAAATTTGGAGGAGAATGTGAAAGAGAGACGCTGTTTGATCGATCTTTATTAATGTGACACTTAGCTGATCAGTTCTTATGGGTTGGGCTTCCCTGAAGTTTGGTTCAATCCTGCAATTCTGAGACACTGTCCTCATAGACTGTACTGTCTCCACTCCTGGTGTACTGCATCTGGATGGGTCTTTGTCTTACCAAAGAGGAACTATCAGCTGACTCTCAGGCATTCCAACAATCTCTTTACACATTGTACACCCATCTGAAACTCTCCGATGCAAGCTATTCCATCCTCTCCCCAGAATCTCGAGATCACGTAGCTGCTGATGGCAGTATTGTAACATCTTATACATCACCTTGTTATTAGCGTTCTCATTATACGACAAGAGGAACAATGCTTTAGGGCGGGGGGGGTTTAAGGAAGTCAATTGCAGAGAATAGGGGTGTGATTGGAGGAACGAAGAGACTGCAGCGATAGTGACGGAAGACACATAAAATCCAAGAGTTGGAGGGGTAGCGTGTGCAATCTGCTCTGTAGGATGGGAGTCAATTGCAAAGGGAAGAGCAAGGGAGTAAGGATTTGCAAATCAGGACCAGCATTTTGAAAGTGACATGTTGGGAATTGGTGAGTCAGATCAACCAGTATTAGTAAATAAGACACTGGAACAGCTCCATGAGTCAAGGGATCCCACGTATTGGAAGGCAGCACAGAAACCATCAAATTCCAAGTGGAGGGATGCAGATCAACAACATGTAAGATGCTGTTTGAAAGAGGAGCAAGACTGGGGTTAAAGTATGGAGCTTCTAGCAGGAGCCAATCCTATCATTGAAATATTAAGCTGCAGGAAATGCGAGCTAATTAACAATTAATTTTGGACTGGAATCCAAACAGCACAGCAGCAACTGTCAGACTGATAGCAGGGAAGTAAAATTGTGTGTCAGGAGCACACCAATAAAGAGCAAAATGGACCAGCAATTGAGCTTAAGGTACAACTACCAAGCATTAACATTAGCTTCTTTGGTGCAGGTGGGCATGAGACTGAGAGAGATGGCATCAGGAAGGAGGGATATTGGATTAAGACAGACTGGTAGACGGGGCCAAAGGCCACAAAAGGAGTAATGCACCAGGGATGCATTGATTTAGGATAAATAATCTTGGGGTGGCTGGAATGAAAACCAACCAAACAGACAGGGCATTGAAAGAGAGTTGACAGTAAATGAGGAGGCAATAACATGGTTGAATATTTACAGCAGGAACTTTAGAAAAGCAATCAGCAAGAAGAGAGAGAGGTCCAACAAGGGTTTAAATGACGAACAGCGACTGTTTACCAGCAGGGGGTTATGTAAAGCATATGGTAGCTGCAAAGCTGTTGGAAATAATCAGGAATGCTCCAAATCTGATCACTGAGCTCTACCGTTAACTACGCTGAGTGATGGTCTGGCCCGAACCGCACAAACCTGGTTATAACAAACTAAGCTCCACCTCGACTACTGCAACCAACTTTACCACGAGTCTGCAAAGGCTCAAACACCACTCCTCACCCTTCAAACACTTGTGCCGTCTGGTCGGGGTTGAGCACGAGGCAAGAATGGTAGCGTCGTAGCACGGCCACGATGCACAGGCACAGTCCTGTGGTGTAGCTCCCAGCCAGACTCGAGGATTTCAGCAACAACTCCGCCTCCACTACACTCAGTTCGTTCAGTAACTGAGACATTAAATAAAATACACAAGATCAGAGCATAAATTATATCATCAGCACATACTAAACATTTGTAAGTGAAATAATGTTCAAGCTGGAGTAGAGTACTGTGTCCAAATTGGGCCATCTCTCTTTAGGAAGGATGACAACAGCTGGGTAAGGACATACAAAGGCAGTTCGTTGCAATGGTACCAGGAATGAGGCACTTTGGTTATCTGGAGAGGGCAGTGAAGTAGTTTCTTAAAAATGGTAGCTAATGAGAAAGTAGAAACTTTGGTGTTAATTTTCCTAAGTTCTCTACATCCTTGAAAGGTTCCATCGGATTGGAAATAGCAAATGTAACTCCTCTACTCAAGGGAAGGAGGTGAGAAGAAGGCGGCTACATGAAGGTTAGCTTGACATTGAATCCAAAACCTTCCCTATGGGCAATGATTAAGGACGTTAGAAAATCTTAAAATAGTTGGTAAAACAGCTTGGTTCTGCAAAAGGGATATCATTTTTGACTAATTTATTAGAAGTACTGCCATGCACCATGGATAAAAGGGGAGCTTTTAGAAGAACTGTACTTGGAATTCCATAAGGCTTTTGACAAGGTGCAATATAAGGGGTTTCTGCACCATGTGGGAGCTCATGGTGCAGAGGGTAACATATTAGCAGGGATAAAAGATTGACCAGCCCACAGAAAACAAGCCCTGTGCTTAAATGGGTCTTTTCTGATTGCCAGTGGGGTTCCACAGGGGTCAATGCCAGGGCCTTAGCCTTTAACAACTATTATTAATTACTTAGACAAGGGAATGGTTGTAGATGACACAAGATTAATTGGAAAATATGTTGTGAAGATGATTTAGGGAGGTTGTTAACAGATATAGATTGAGTGAGTGGGTTAAAATGTGGCAGATGCAGTATAATGTGGGAAAACATGAAGTTGTTCACTTCTGTAAAAAGAATCAGAAGGCTGAGTATCATTTAAGTGGAGAACAACTGTAGAAATCTGAGCTGCAGAGGGATCTAGGTGTTCTAGTGTATGAGTCACAAAAGTTAGTACACTAAGTACAGCAAGTAATTAAAAAGCCAATGGAATGTTATGATTTATGATGAAAGAAATTGGAAGTAAAAGTAAGGGATTTTATGCTTCAGTTATACAGGGCATTGGTGAGACACATCTTGAATACTAAATAGAGTTTTGCTTTCCATATTTAAGGAACAATGTAATGTAGTTCAGTCGCTGTTTACTAGATTAATACCCGAAACGGGTGGGTTGTCTTACAAGGATGGCAGGACACACTACATTTGCTTCAGCCGGAGTTTAGAGGAGTGAGGGGTGACTCGACTGAGGTATAAAAGATGCTGAATGGTCTTGACAAGTGGATATGAAGACAATGTTTCCCTTGTGGATTAGTCAGAACTGGGGAGTACTGTTCAAGAATTAGGGATCTTTGTTTTAGGACAGAGATGCCGAGAAATCTTTTTTCCTCAGAGCATTGTGCAACTTTGAAACTCTTTCTCTCAGAATATGCTGGAGGCAGAGTCATTGAGTATGCTTAAGATGGAGGTAGATTCTTGTTAGGCAGGGGAATCAAAGGTTAATCGGGAATCAATGGGAATTTGCAACTCAAACAGGTCAGCCATGCTTTTATTGAACGGTGTGGAGGTGCCGGTGTTGGTCTGGGGTGGACAAGGTCAGAAGTCACACGACACCAGGTTATAGTCCAACAGGTTTATTTGAAATCACAAGCTTTCAAAGTGCTGCTCATTTATTGAACGGCAGAGCGAACGTGAGGAGGAGAATGGTCTACTTCTTCTCCTGTTTCATATAATCGTACATGGGACCATTCTCCTTAGGCCACAGAAAGGGAAATTTAGCAAAGAGGTCAAATCATCATATGTTTTAACTATGTAAATAAGGGTTAGCGGTAGGCAAGGGGGACATTCTTATGCATGCTGATAATCTGGGATGTAGTGCATTAAAGGATAGTGACAAACAGTTTCAACTGGAACCTCAAACAGGCCTTGTGAATGGCTGGGAAAAGGAAACAAAAATGCACAGGGAGCGAGGCTAAAACAGAAATTGCTGGAAAAGCTCAGAGGAGAAAAAGCAGAATTAACATTTCGGGTCCAGTGACCCTCAGTTCTGAAACAGGCATTAATTCTGCTTTCTCTCCACAGATGCAGCCAGACTCACTCAGTGTTTCCAGCAATTTGTGTTTTTGTTTCCAATTTCCAGCATTCACAGTTCCTTGATTTATTCTGATTAGGGAGTCAGACTAATTGGATAGCACTATGTTGAGCAGCCACCAGATTGATGGGCTGAATGGCCTCATTTTGTGCCATTACTTTGCCACACTGGATACAACAGAGCATAAAATAACAAAAGATCAAACGATCTTTTAATATTGACTATATTCCAGAGAACGTTCATTCTGACACTAATTCACACATGCTGAAAGGTGACAGGTTTGATAGCCAGTCTGCGCTGAACTTTTCAATTTGGCCCTCAGTAGTTGCAGCAATTGGCTTAACATTGCCAGGGAAGGAAGTAAGACAGAATCGTCCCAGGCTCCTGCTGCTTTCGATATTTGGCAACAGTTGTTGGAAAGCTGTCACATCCACGAGGCTGACAAGGTCAGAGGTTATTTGGCTGTTCTATCCTGTGCTGCCTATAAGATTGGCACTGACCACTCAAGGTTCTGTATTTGCAATGGTCACGTGATGTTGTGGGATTGGGACCCAGCCAAAGGCATTTCCTTCAGGAGAGGAAAGGGGGATGAGGAAACAGAAGAGAAAATGATGGAGAGAGATGTAATCCTGCTCCAAAATGATTCAGTGAACAAAAATGAAAGGAATTATTTAGTGAAAACAGGATGTCTATTGCCTCTAGTATTCCTGTCAAGAGTTTCCCTCATTGACCCATTATATAAAATAAAATGGCTAACCCATCAAAAATGTGGGGAAAATTATAAATTTATAAAATAGGCCTGTTAAGTCATGAACTTAAAACAATGCAAGTCTTGAACAGATATGCATCAACTAACAAAAAGCTCAAATAATTAAACATTCTGTTCGGTGACTAACCAGCTCAGAAGGTCTTCCTGGTTTAATTAGAAAAGTATGTTTACTCATTTACAATAGGGATGCTGCTCATCTTTTACTCATTTTATCAGATCAGTCCCAGAAAGAACTTGCATTTATATAACACCTTCCACAACCATAGAGCACCCTAAATTACATTACAACTAATTACATTATTGTAAGTGTTATTGTTGTTGTAATATGGGGAAAATAGTAACCAATTAATGCACAGTAAGCTCTCTAAAACAGCAACGCAATAATGCTCTTAGTAAACGGTGGCTGAAAGAGAAAATATTGGTTCAGATTTCCCTGCTCTTTTTTGGATCAATAGCGTGAGTTCCTTTACATCCGACCACAAAGGCTGAGGAGACTGCGATTTATCAACTCATCCAAAAGATTATATATTTTGTTTCCATTTCAGTCATGGTCAAGCAAACTATTTTATCAGGGACTGAATGGCAGCAACAAAAGCCTACACCTCCTGTTTAACACCATTGCATTTAACTCCTCAGCATAAATAATTTGAATTACTCATGCCAAATCAACACTGCTTTTAACTAAAACATCTCTCACAGCTGTATTCGTGGCCAGCCTTTCCAAATCCCTGCTCTCCTGTACGGAGATAAAAGGGGAGGAAATCTGCTACACACGTAGTTATGTGAAGACTGACAAGTGGTCAAGGATGCATTTGATCACAGCTGTTCACAGTCTGGAGAGCTGGATGACATCCTTAACCATCAGAATAAAGTTCAGGTGTCTCATAACTTTCTCCAAAGTCCATGGTTTATTCATAAATCTTCTAGAATGCATTACACATACCTGTTATTATAATCTCACCTGGATAGCAAAATCAATTAGGCCATTGATATTAAGGGCACACTCCATCATATCGAAAATGAGCTGGATATGGTGAGCCAAAGGCAGATGGTATGAAGTTCCTGAGGCAAAGCTAGTGATTTGTTCCAGGACATTACTGGAAATCTGGAAGCAGATTTAAAATTAGTGGATTTTTTCCCCTCCTCCAAATATATGTAAAATAGCATTTCCAGTACTCGAAAATTGGGATGCCTCTAAATCTTTCCAGACCGTTCATACAGACGAGACCTCTGGCTCCAACAGTAGGGTACACAAGAACTTTTGTACTGTATTCAGTCACTGGAACATTACACTAAAAAGTTCTTGCAAACTTGAATTGAGGACAGACAGTAGTGGCAATGATTTGAAGACTTCAAGAAGGTCAACCAAGTTTTTATTGGAGCCAGATGATTTAATTTTAATAGCCACATATGTAAATAAAAATTGATTAAAATCACTATTAAATAAAAGCATTTAATCTCCCATCATCTTGTACAAACACAGTGAGAGATTTCTGCTGTCAGAGCAGGAGGTTTTGCTGTTTAAATAATTGTATATATCCATATGTACACAATCCCAAAGCCTTGATTTAAGTAATAGCTCCTGAATGACAAGAATTGGAGCTATATAAAGAAACATCCATTATTTCCATGAGAGTAATCTGGGGAAGGTGGTTAACTTTTCATGTGCTCTTTCTACCTGAAATCAAGACAGAAATACACTAAGATTCCAACAGCGTCCTTTATAATAGTTTCATGTCAAGAGGCAGATGAGCATACAAACATGATTCCACCCCCATCAGCAACTACAGTTATCGGCACTGATTAATTTCTTGTGTTGCTGCTGAAAATGTATTTATGTGCAAAAATATCCCGCAGGAGTACTTTCCTTGTGTCAATTAAAAGGACATGAGCTGTTAACAAGTGCTTGTGGTATTCCGAGTTTGCTTTCAAAGGTTCCATTTGGATTCCAAGATTGCAAAGTTTGTTCACAAATACTGACTGAAATGTTCACAGCCATGCAGGATCAATGGAATTTGAATGCTGGAGAAACTCAGCAGGTCTGGCAGCATCTATGGAGAGAGAAACAAGCTAACATTTCGAGTCCAGCATGACTCTTCTTCAAATTTGCTGAGTTTCCTCAGAGTTCTCTGCGTTTGTTTCAACTTTCCAGCATCCGCAACATTTTATTTATTTTACAACAGGAAAGAAGTCTTGTTTCAGTTCTATTGAACTCTGGTGAAACCACCCTTGTAATATTGTGTGAAGTTTTATTCCCCTTGTCCAAGTTAGTTTTTACTTCTCATAGAGGTTCACCAGATGGAATCCTGGGATGATGGGAATGTCCTTTGAGGAGAAATTGAGGTGGCTGGGCCTGTATCCTCTGAAGTTTTGAAGACTGGGAGGCAATCTCATACAAACTTACACAAAATTCGTAAAAGGGTTAGACAGAGCTAACACAGAAAGGATGCTTCCCCTGCCTGTGTTTCAGAATTAAGCAGAAGCCCTTTTGGACTGAGATGAAGAGGAACCATTTCACTCAGAGGGACGGTGAATCTTGGGAATGCTCTGCCTCAGACTGTTGTGGAAGCTCAGTCATCAAGTAAATTCAAGGCAGGGATCGATGGATTCCTGGTTAGTACTGACAAGTAGGAATAGGGGGATAAAGCAGGAATATGGCATTAGAGTAGATGATCAGTCATGATCTAGAATGGCAGAGCAAGCTCTAGGAACTGAATTGCCTACTCCTGCTGTCATGATCCCAATCCAAACTTTACAATTTTTGTGTGGAACTGCTGCACATCAATAAAATGTAAATAGCAATTCAAGATTGAAGTACAGGTCTTACTACAGGCACTGGAACCTAAATCCTGCAGATTGCTTTGTGGCCTAGATTTTGAAGGGAGATCTACGATACCTAATGGAGTCGTAAAGTGGGAACAGACTGTGCTGCATGATGTTAAAATCAATCTAAAATGGGGTAATGATTTCTTTCAATGGAAACTAACACTTTGCCTGTATCATTAATCCATTGGTTGAAGCTGCTGGAATTAGGTCATCTCACAGTTCATAATCACTGCAGTCCGAAATTTGAAACAAACTTCACACAGCTACACCTCGGGCAACAACAGAAGCACTTTTCTGATGAAGGGTCTAGGCCCGAAGCGTCAGCCTTCCTGCTCCTGTGATGCTGCTTGACCGGCTGTGTTCATCCAGCTCTACACCTTGTTATCTCAGAAGCACTTAGCTGTTCAGGGAAACAGTCAGCAATACTTAACCACACTTTCACAAGACGCAAGGAGCTTATTGAATCATTCCAAAATAGCCAGCTGGCTAAACATGAATGATTGAGTGTAAAAATAAAAGCCAAATAAAAATTGTATAACTTTTAAAGTGAGGAAAGAGGCCACTCAGCTCATTATATTTAAAACAGCTGCCCAATTGGTCCTATTTCCTCTCCAATGATATGCAGCAAGTGTAGATGATGCAAGCAGAAGAAATGTCATTGCAATCAGGCAAGGCATTGGTGGGACCATATCTGGAGTGCTGTCTACAGTTTTGGTCACCTTTCTTGAGGAAGGATGTAATTGCATTGGAAGCAGTTCATCGAGAGTTCACCTGATTAATTCTAGAGATGAAAGACTTGTCTCGGGACAGGCGATAGAGCAGTTTAGATCTATCCCCACTACAGTCTAGAAGAATGAGCAGAGATCTAATTCAGATATACAGATGCTAAAGGGGATTGACAAAGTAGATGTAGAGCAGGTGTTTCCCCTCATGGGGCAATCCAGAATAAGAGGTCATAGTTTTAGGATAAGGGGTGACAAAATTAAAACAGAGACAGGAAGGAATGTCTTCTCTCAAAGGTTCGCAGATCTGTGGAATTCACTACTCTAGAGGATGGTGGACGTCAGCACATGGAATAAATTAAAGGAGGAGATGGACAGAGTTTAAATTAGTAGATCATTGAAGGGTTATGAAGAGCAGGCAGGTGAGTATAAAGTTGAAGGTGCAATGAGATCAGCCATAATCAAATTGAGTGGTGGATCAGACACGAGGGGTTCTATTGCCTACTTCTGCTCCTGGTTCTTAAGTTCATAAACAAGTCACATTATTTTATACGTTATGGTGTGGAAATAATGGTTAAAGTTTTCAACAATGAGCCAGGAATCCCAAAATCTTTATTCAATAGGAGTCCTACACTTGGCAGAAAATGGTGAAGTGGTGACCTGGTGACTCTGAACCTGTCAACTCATGTTTCTGTTTGTAAAACCCATTTGGATCCAGACGTCTCTCTGCAGCAACCGAGAGCGTTTCCATGAACAGAAAATCACAGGTGGATTGTGTCCTAATTAGTAATCGGTTCTGTCCAAGACAGGCCTGATTTTCTAGCTGTGCCAAATGCACCTCACAAGGTCTTAAGACACATCAGCAAAAGTAGGCCATGCAGCCTTTCGAGTCTGCTCGCATGGCAGAAAATTCCAGAACTCAGATATTTTAAGACTGATCAGTGGATGTTAATTAGGGACCAAAACCAAAGGGACCTGTGCAAACAAAGCCAAGTGAAAAACTTGTTAACTTTCTTCTACTGATGGTATCCTCCCCCTTTTGCTTTGAATTTTCAGCGCACAAACAGGCCATTCGGCCCAATTAAGCCACGTTTTTATTATGTTCCAAATGAGCAGCCTCCTTCAAAGCCTCTTCATTTGGCCACATCACCATACCCTTCTATTAGTTTCTCCCTCGCTTAACCCTGAAATGTATCCATTCATGAACTATTCCTTTTGGTAGAGAGTTCTGCCTTTTCAAACCTCCTACTGTTAAGGGTAGACGGTAGTGAGAGCAGAGAACAGCACTTGCGCACCTGAGATGTCACCTGGTGTTGGTCGAAATAGGACAGCTGTTGAAGTTTGGCATAAATGGTCTCAAGGGTTAGAGGGGCTTCCTGTTTGGTCCTCTTCGATTTTTGACCTTCATCACCAGCTGCACAGGCAGGAGGACAGTTAAGAACAACACATTAGTTACACAAGCTCATTAAATGCAGCAAAGCGTTATAAAGATGGCATTTTTTTAAAAAAATTAACAGTGAGAAACTGTGGACACAGCTAATGTCAGCGAAACGTGACTCACTGGTTTCTGCAGTACTTTTCTTGTTCAGTACTTTCAGGATATCCTTGATAATCTTTTTCAGCTGGTGCCTGGCTTCATCCCTTTGCTTCCCTACTCCGTATAGAAGGATGATTCGCTGATTGCACTCGTGACTTGAAGTCTCATCCTGCGGTTAGTGAGTAAGGCATGTTAAGTAAATCCAAACAAGATTTATTCTGGTAACCAATATGTTGGCATTTAAATTCCATAGCTTAGCATATTCACATGGAATCCCCTCATGTGCACAAGTCAGTAACTCATCTACACTGGAAAATCAGTGAACCAGAAGAAATTAGATCCCATAAATTATGAAGATCAATGTTTAATATTAAAGTCAGTGTCTCATAACAAACTGTTTCTGGAGTGATGCTCCTGCAAAGTGATCATTTACAGGGAGATAGTGGCATAGGTGTTAATGCCGTAGGGTATGTAATACAGAGGCCCATACAAATGCTCTGGGAACACAGCATCAAATGCTGCCAAGGGAATTGGTGGAGTTTAAATCCCATGAAAAGAATCTGGAATTGGAATTAGACTCAGTAATGAAGGCCACGAACCTATCATTGATTGTCATCTGGCTCACTAAGCTCCTTCAGAGAAGGAAATCTGCCATCCTTACTCCATCGATGGACAAGTGAATCCAGACCCTCAACATTATAATTGACTCTGGATAGCCTTCTGAAATAGCATAGCAAGCTGCTCAGATCCAGGGCAATTTGGGAATGGGCAACAGATGCTGGCTCTGCCAGTGATGCCCACATCCTAGGAAAGAACAATATCTGACAGTAACGCAACAATAATTGGGTTGATTAGCAGAATTACCACATCTCCCAATTTTCTATGCATTGCAGTGCTCAGGACAACAAACACAGCTATGTTTATATATAAAGAGGCCAATCTTCCCTTTGGAACATCAGAGGCCTACTCTTTATGCTTCAGGGCAGAAGCCAACCCTGTCAAGTTCTTGCTTATGCTGCCCTAGATGTCACATCCCCAACTTCCACCGCAATTCTCAGGAGGACTGAGGGCTGCAGTTAGATGCTTCAAGGATGAAGTAAAAAACAATCTCAGAAACCAGTACTGCAGGCTACACTTGAAACTCTTAGCCCATAGTTACAGAGGTAATGGTCTGGAGATAGTGACATGCCCTAAAGCTTCTCCGCCAGTGAGAGAGAAAAAGAAGTGCAAGGCTATGAGAAAAAGACAGGAGATTAATTGGATTGTTCAATGTAACAACTAACATAGGAACAAAGCCAACCTTCCATCCGTTGACTCCTTCTATTTTTCTCGCTGCCTCCAGAATACAGCCATCATAATCAAAGACCCCTTCCACCCCAGTTATAGTCTGTTCTAATCGGGCAAAAGATACAAAAGCTTAAATACACGTACCAACAGATTCAAGAACAGCTTCTTCCCTGCTGTTATTAGACTTCTGAATGGACCTCTCAAATTTTAACATTGATCTTACTCTTTGTGCGCCTTCTCTGCAGCTGTAACATTGTATTCCTCGCTCTGTTCTACTACCGTAATGGACTTTGTGTGGTATGATCTGCCTGTACTGCACACAAAACAAAACTTTTCACTGCACCTAGGTACATGTGACAACAATAAATGACATCAAACTATGGAGCAAATGATCTTGTTTTGTGCTGCATCATTCTTTGATACTATTGCAAGGTGAATGATAGAAAACACATGAAAGTCATGTTTTTATTTTCAATTTTACAAATGAAAAACGTGCTGGCCACTGAATTTCAAGCATGTACAATGATCTTTTCTTGAAGATTTACTCTTGCTGCGCTACCAAGGCAAAGAAGATTGCCAATCTTTTACTGACCACTGGTGCTCACAGACTTCCTTCTTCAAGTGCTGCAGTCTGTTTTTAACTTCGTGGTACACAGTTTCGACTTTAAAAAATGATAACGCTTCTCATCAAGTAGTCCCAGTTCACTTTGGGCAGTGGACAGAATTATTATAAGCCCCTGCAAAATGTCCTGTTAACAAAATATACAGCTGTACCAGCATAAATTTCAGTCAAGTCGTAGGCCAGTAACAGACAGCAAAAAAAAAAAAAAAACTCAGTTCCACCTGCACTCCAAATTCAGACACAGGTGCTGACATGGCCAGTTCAGGTCGCTTTAAATGGTGTTGAGACCTATGCCAAGACCCTAATCCGAGATGTTCAAGTGAATCCAAGTGAAGCTACCAAACAGGACTACTTGCATGCTAAACAACACAAGCAGCAAGCAATAGGCAGACCTAAATGATCCCACAAACAACAGATCAGATCTAAGCTCTGCAGTGCTGCCACATCCAGTTGAGAATGTTGGGGACATCTAAATAACTCAATGGAGAAGCAGGCTCCATAAATATCCCCATCCTCAATGCTGGAAGAGCCCAGCACACAGTGCAAAAGACAAGGCTAAAGCATTCACAGCAATCCATCTCGGCCTCCTCCAGTGGTCCCCAGCATTACAGATACGGGTCTTTAGCCAATTCAATTCACTCCACGTGATATCAAGAAACGGTTGGAGATACCGAACACTGCAAAGGCTATGGGCCCTGACAACATTCCAGCAACAGTACTGAAAGACTTGTGCTCCAGAACTTGCTGCTCCCCTAGCCGAGCTGTTCCAGTACAGTTACTACAATAGCTTCTACCCGACAATGTGGAAAATTGCCGAGATATGCCCTGCCCATAAAAAGGACAAATAAAACCCGGCCTATTACCGCCCCATCAGTCCACGCTCGATAATCAGTAAAGTGATGGAAGGTGTCAGTAACAGTGCTATCAAGCAGCACCTGCTCAGCAATAACCTGCTCAGTGACGCCCAGTTTGGGTTCTGCCAGGGCCACTCAGCTCCTGACCTCATTACAGCCTTGGTTCAAACATGGACAAAAGAGCTGAATTCCAGAGGTGAGGTGAGAGTGACAGCCCTTGACATCAAGGCTGCATTCGATGGAGTGCAGCTTCAAGGAGCCCTGGCAAAACTGGAATCAATAGGTATTGGGGGGGGCAAAATCGCCGGAGTCAAACCTGACACGTAGGAAGATGGCCAAGGTTGTTGGAGGTCAGTCATCTCTGCAGGCATTCCTCAGGGTAGTGTCCTAGGCCCAACCATCTTCAGCTGCTTCATCAATGACCTTCCCTCCATCATAAGGTCAGGAAGTGGGGATGTTCGCCATTGATTGCACAATGTTCAGCACCATTCACTACTCCTCAAAATACTGAAGCAGTCCATATCTAAATGTAACAAGATTTGGACAATATCCAGGCTTGGGCTGACAAGTGGCAAGTGACATTCGCGCCACACAAATTCCAGGTTATGACCATCACCAAAATGAGACAGACAATCTAACCACCATCCCTTGATATTCGATGGATCACTGAATTGCCACTATCAATGTCCTAGGGGTTATCACTGACCAGAAACTCAAATGGTCTTGCCACACAAACGCAGTGGCTATGAAAGCAAGTCAGATACTAGGAATACTGCAGCACTTCCTGAACAACTCCCCCCCCACCCCCCACCTAAGCCTGTACACCATCTACGAGGCACAAAGTCAAGAGTGTGATGGAATATTCCTCACTTGCCCGGATGGGTGCAGCCCCAACAACACTCAAGAAGCTTGACACCATCCAGGACAATGCAGCCCACTTAATTGACACTACATCCTCAAGGGGTGGCACGGTGGCTCAGTGGTTAGCACTGCTGTCTCACAGCACCAGGGACTCGGGTTCAATTCCATCCTCGGGTGACTATCTGTGTGGAGTTTGCACGTTCTCCCCGTGTCTGTGTGGGCTTCCTCCGGGTTCCTCCCACAGTCCAAAGACGTGCAGGCTAGGTGGATTGGCCAAGCTAAATTGCCTGTAGTGTTCAGGGATGTGTAGATTCAGTGGGTTATAGGGGGATGGATCTGGGTGAGATGCTTGGAGGGTCGGTGTGGGCTTGTTGGGCCGAAGGGCCTGTTTCCACACTGTAGGGATTCTATGATTCTATGAAGCATTCACTCCCCCCACCACCGATGCTCAGTTGCAACAGTGCGTACTGTCTACAAGATGCACTGCAGAAACTCACCAAAAGATCCTCAGACAGTACCTTCCAAACCCACAACCACTTCCATCTAGAAGGACAAGGGCAGCAGATACATGGGAACACCACCATCTTTAAATTCCTCTCCAAGCCGCTCACCATCCTGACTTGGAAATATATCGCCGTTCCTTCACTGTCCATGCGTCAATATCCTCCCTGATGGCATTATGGGTCAACTCACAGGAGATGGACTGCAGCAATTCCAGAAGGCAGCTCACCATCACCTTCTCAAAGGGCAACTAGGGACAGGCCACAAATACCAGTCGGCCAGCCAGCGACACTCTCATCCCACAAAAATGAAAAATGAAGGAAAAAAAAATCACTTGGGGATAAGCATGCAATGTTCTGTTATTAGCTCTGAAAAGGCAAAATTATCACAAAGAAAATAAAAACAAACATCATCTTTTGACTTGTTTGTGAACCTGGCAGGCCACACAGGAAAAGAAGAATACGGAAGTACATTTTTCCACTGAAGGTACCTTCCTCTTTTGGCTTGGATTTTTTAAGCAGAGAAATAGGCCATTCGGCCCAAATGATTTATGCTGTTTTTTATGCTCCACATGAGCAGCCACCTCCCAGCCCTCTTCATCTGGCCACATCACTGTAATCTTTATTATTTTCTGCCCCATGTGCTTAATCCTTAAATGTATCCATGCACTCAGCTACTCCTTGTGGTAGTGAATTCTGCCTAAAGACCATAAGAAACAAGAACAGGAGTAGACCATTTGGCCGCTTGAATCTGTTCCACCAGTCAACATGATCATGGCTGACCCCAACATTGCTCATGTCCACTTTCCTGCATTTTCCCCGCAACCTTAGATTGATACCCTGTCTGATCAAGAATCTATCAGCAAGTTGCTGGAAAAGCTCAGCAGGTCTGGCAGCAATTGTGAGGAAAAATCAGAGTTAACCTTTTGGACCCAACCAGACCCAAAACCTTAACTCTGATTTCTCTTCACAAATGCTGCCAGACCTGCTGAGTTTTTCCAGCAACTTCTGTTTTTGTTCCTGATTTACAGCATCCGCAGTTCTTTTGGCTTTTAAT